AACCTAATCTGCTTGAAATCTTGAGCAATAATATTTTTTCCCCAACAGGCCTAAATCCTGTATGAAAACTAGGTTCACAGGTTGACCACGACCATCAGAATGAATCTTCTGATTGAGTGAAAACAGCAACAAMGAATTSAGGGAATATGTTGAACAAGTCTCTTGTTCTAATGGACATATTTCCTATCTATCTTTCTTTGTTATTTCACCAAATCACAATCTTTTCTCTTTCAATAATTCACAGAAGCATTTCAGAATCATTTCACTATATTGTAGCAGAGTTTTCTTGTTCATCATATATTAAATTTTGTTTTGCAATWAAATGTTCTTTTCAATAACATGTTCTTGAAACTCTAACAATCTAAAATCTAAATTGGATAAAATACAACAGTACTTGTAATAGAAAATTCTTTGCCTTATAAATTATACTAATTAAAATATTCATTGAATTAGATTGTTTTTGTTCATAAAATGTTCTTTTCAAACAATGTCAAACTGCAACATTCTAAATGTGATATACAAACACAACAGTTCAATGTTACGTACATGCTTGCTTAAAAAAAACAGTGAGTAATGCAAGCATCTGAAATATGTCGGAAATGTTAGGAGTGACTCCTRTTTCCTATTTGCCAAGACGAACTAGTACACTTTGAAGAAAGACTGGTCAACTTGTCATTTCATAAATAGTTCTGTACAGGGGCTTCATGTTAGAGTTTATAWYACTACMAAGTACCATSTTTTAGGTTCTCATGGTTCTAATCCAAACAGCCGTCAAAACAGACAATACTTGATCTCTATGTTGACATCATGTAAACCATTCCATGTCTCTACATAATGTTACCAGTAAAATTCATTCTCATCTTCATAATCGTACCATTCATCAAATGATGATGATGATGATGAAGAATCACTTGAGCAATCATCATAATAGGATGTATCAATGAAAACTACATCATTTGCCGATATCTTRGGATACTGGTCATAGCAGAACTTTGGAAGCTTGAGTTGAACAAAGTTGAAACTGTTTTGAAAGGCAGAACGCTGAAGTGCTTTGAACCTYTTAGATTTCCTCCATATATCTGTTTTCTTAAAATACTTCCAACAATCTCCACCAACAATTGTGTAAACTTCATCATTCACAGACAGTGATATCTTGGGAAATACATCTYGAGCTCYWATTSCTGGCAGGCTTGACCACTCATTGCATGACTCCTGGTAAACTGCACAATGGAYTCCACATCGGGTCAATCCAGTCTCATCAAGATATTTAACATAGGATCCACCAATTACAAAGATGTTATCATTAGTGGTGATGATGTGAGGAGCATCTCTTGGAAACCACACATCAGCCATGGAGGCCCACTCATTTGTTTCAGGGTTATATCTTTCAACAAGACTTTCAGCTGGTCCTCCGTGACTTTTCTTTCCACCAATTGCGTAGATATAGTTGCTTGTAGCACCAGCTCCAATTCTACATCTTGGTGTAATCATATTMGCCATTGSYTTCCATTCTCCTTSTGMTGGATCAAAGCATTGAATGTCAACTGACCTGTCTTTATGGTGCATACAACCACCAACAATATAAAGCTTGTCCTTCAGAGACAGGACAATTGTTTTCCTATCACATGCATTTGGCTTCAAGGGACTTGAATTATTAATTTTACCCCAGATACGGTCAACACTAGAYTTATTATTTGTTCCCAATTTGAGCTTTGCCAGCCTTGTTGCATTGGCCTCCCAGGATGATTCTTGGCCTACTGTATATAGCTCTTGACCCATGGCTGCTACACCAAGTTGAGCGTATGACGTAGGACTTGGTAGCTTGTAGAACTGCTCGGTTTGAAGATCATAACAGAATGACTTGTACTGATGTCCTCTTGTAACGCCAATTAAAACATTTTGAATAGTAGCAGAAGGCCTCTCTCTAGACATAGATTGCTTCTCAGATGTTGTAGCTCGCCGCTGCCGTCGTTTTTGCAGTTTCAAGAAGTTCTCGCAAAAAGAAACTCCTTCAAAGATGGAATCTTGCTCAAATTGGTTAACAAGAAATTCTTGAGACAAAGATCCATAGCGCAGGCAKGRCAGKAGAGTAGAAAGTTCTTTGGATCTGCTTGTGGGATCATGTTTGGCCCAGTTCACAATTGCTTCAAAAACTTCTTCCTCTTTTTCTACCCTCACTGAGTCACTCGAAATAAGTTCTTTCAMCTCGTAAGGATTTAATTCTAAAAATTCCTTTTGCTTACTCGCTGCTTGGAAATTCTTCGTCRTAAATGAAGCTGCTTTTCTTGACAWCTCATCTAAGGCGTACCTTTCTGCAAGGCGTTTAGTAGAAAAGCAGTTAGAAATGGATAAATTGTGAGACATCACCTCTGCACAAGCATTCTTCACGTGATTCAAGAGGAGAAAACTAGAAGCTTCGAGCAATCCCTCCAAGTTATCTTTGCTGACAATAATTTGGCGCGTGTAGAAGAAATCGAGGACTGTAGACACGGCCGAACTACCAAGGGAACGCAGATTTACATGTTTCTCGTTCGAGTCTCTCATYCCACTGGTAAAAAGCGTGTAAAAGAACTGACTATTAGCAGCCAGCACACAGCGATGAGCAGGGAACGACTGGCCATCGACCTCCAGCACCACGTCACAAAACCCAGMTTCTCCTTCTTTTCTGAGGATATTCAAGAATGAAAGAACACTGGAAGAATTCCCAAGGTATTTACGGGAATTTACAAGGGGGAATACGCGAATCTCTGACAGTTTTTCTTTGTCAAGACGCGTAAATGCTTCTTCGACCTCCTTGCAGGCAGACATCTTGGATGGTGCCTCGCTTCCAGTTTTTGGCGGCAAATTGACCGGTACGCAGGAATCCCACGAGTATAAATCACCGTCTTGGTTCGCTTCTCTCCCCCTGGCATCCTTGCTTTTACCTCATTGTATTGTCAGTCCTCAGGAAGCAGTCTCAGGGTAAGAAGAAAGTGAAAACCTTTTGATTCTTTGCCGGAATACTTTTTCCTGGCTTTCCCTTACCAGCGCTGTTATTTTCTTGGAATGTGAGATCACCCTGCCCCTTAGCCTGCGTTACATCCRGTTTTACCGGATGTACCGCAGGCTACCTGCCCTGTTTTTTCTTTGAATCGTATACACCCTTTTAATAAGTCCCAAGGTATTGTGTTCTCCGCACTTGACGTCAAATTTATTCTTTTGAATTCCTTTTGTATTGTCAAAATTTCAAAAGAATAAATTTGACGTCAAGTGCGGAGAAATCAATACCTGGGGACTTATTAAAAGGGTGTATAGATACTTAAGGGATACAATCGGAGAACTAAACAAATCATTCGAACAAGCTAGATGAAGATAGTTACAACATGGCCAATAATCCTGCATATCTCCTCACAGGTAGCCCAAGCTATGCACTTATCGTTTTTAGTAATTTTGTGAAACATCTCTTGCGGTTTTATCGTTTTATTAGTGTAGAGTTTCAGACCATTTTGAGCCATTTACCGCTATTGCTATCATTCGCTCCAAAAGAGAGAATGATAGCGGTAAATCACTCAAAAGTTTCAAMAATCGTCTGAAGACTTCAGTGGCTGAAACCTGCATAAGATAAGATCGATCGAACAAAAATAGTCGCCGTTTTGAATTAGACACCAGTATAGTCCGCTTCCGATTGCTGGTTTTCACTTATTTTTACTATTCGTTCGATGTCCTGTTTCACAGTCTCCGCTTAATTCACAAACGAAAACAAGAATAAAACACAAAAATCTACATTTTAAAACCATTTAATTTGAATGTCTTTCCTGCATTAGATTATCCTTTAGCGTCTTAATGGGAAATGTTGGTACTGGCTCCATATTATAGACATGAATGACATCTAGTCGTGTTTGTTCACTCAATCKSCTGCTTCTCACAACCATTCTTTAATGAAGTCATTGCTTTTAAAAAGCGTTCTTATTCGAAACTAGCGGGAATGAGATGGTCTGGCATGATGTACGTAATGTCGTCCCAAGGATGACGRTAAAGTCCTTGTTTGAGTCTCTTTTGATCCAAATAATGACCTGAAATTATTTGATGTACATAGGAAAGGAAGTTAGTTAGTTTCTGTGGTGTACATGAACTAATAGCCAGGACTCGGTTGTACAAASGGAGAATAGCGCTATTCGTCGGATAAATCCTTATCCAGTGGATAAAATCCATACAAAAATCCAAGGAGCAGTGAATAACTTTATCCATTCATCATACAACCGACTCCAGGACTTTGTGTTGGCGGCTCCTACAACGAGATTACAGTAATGAGRGMTTTTATTGTTTTCCTWCTGAATACTTACCGATAAAACCCATTGAACGTCCTAATACGAAGAGTCCATTAAGGGAGCCGATTTGTATGTACTCGTCAGCCTCTTCYCTGTGAAGAGAGAAAGAGTTAAAACATTCAGTCGACTTTGGAAAGTAAAACAGGTCAACATGACAYTTACCTTGTAAAAGCACCACATGAGCGCAAAAGATCGACGAAGCACACAGCGATACAGCCGTCCACATTTAAAATAAGGTTAGGTTTCTTGGAAAAAACAAGGAAAGAAAGTCAGAAAGGTCAAATTAAAGTCAGTAAAGTCAGAAGTTTTGATGTTGGTCAAATAGATTCACTCAGTTGTTTATTTATTTACTGGAGAATTCTATTTACCATATAGTTTTACAATAATCATTAAAATAACTCTGAATTGATGTTGTCATGATGTTGTTGAGAAGACTTAACGCTTCGGACCGCAAGGTAATATGGTATACCAAATTGAAACAATAGATACTATCCGTCCAAAGATATATTTTATAGGCCTTTTCGGCAAMATTACATGTAAAGGGCATGGTCAACCCGCWTCCATTTTGTTTGTGCTTGAAAACATACTGATATATTGCAATATAAGAAAAACCTTACTCTATATTTTCTGTTTATACTCTACAAATAGACATTTTGTAGGACTCGAGCTTAATATAAAACCAACGGATGGAAACGTATTGCGAATAGATATTTGAAGTTTCCTTATTT